AGCTCACAACCAGTGTCTAGGAGAGAGGTTTCCAGGCAAGTGCACCCATGGGACCTAAGTGAGGCTTCCACCAGCCGAGGAGCACTCATGTCGGCAACCACCAGCAGCTGGGAGGCAAGTAAAGCCCCTCCCCTAGAGCCCCCAGAGGGAGTGTGAGCCTGTGGACACCTTGACTTAACATCCAGCCCCAGAACTGAGAGAATAAATCCCTGGGGCTGTAAGCCACTGGCTTGCGGTAATTAGTTGTGGCAGCCCCAGGAGACAGTGCAGGCCCCAGCACAGCTTGGGGGCTGCAGGTGGAGGTGTATCAGGAAGTCATTGCCAGAGGAGGAAACTTCATACTGTGTGCGTGGGGAGTGAGTAGTGCGGCCAGGGGGAGGTAGCTTGTTATAAGGTTCCCATCCTGGGAACACATGTTCCATGTTTCATGGGCCCTGTTCTGGGGGCAAAATGTTTTCTTGCATAAGAGTTTTTGAGGAAACAGGTGACCCCCACAAGGTCATAAACTGGCCATGTCAAGGGGTTTGACAAACCTGCCAGGAGATGCAGCTGCTGGGGTCACCAGACTGATTGTGACCTTGCTAAGACCAGGCAGCATGGGGAGGTCACTGATACCATGAGCAGACCTTCTCCTCAACACAAAACCAGCCTCGGCTTCAGGTGGGCACTGCAGGGAGGACAGGGAAGGGTGCAGAGGGGACTCTGTTGGCCTTTGAGTGGTGGACAGGTGGTGGCTCCCCAAGGTGATGGCCCCAGAAGGAGGAAGAAGAAAGGGGGCTTTGTTCCCCCCTGAAGAGCTGAGTTGGAGGTGACCGGGAGGCAGCCAGTCCGAGGTCTGTGCGCACAGTTGGTCTGCCCAGACAGGGGCAGCTGTCAGGGAGACGCCACCAAAGCAAGCAGGACTTAGCAGGCCAGAGGCAGACAGGCAGGAATCCACCGTGTTCTCTAAGTCAGAGATAAAAGAATCTCCAGAGGCTTCGGGGAGTCAACAGCATCACACCTCACAGAGATGACTGATTGAATTTAAATTTGAAAAGTCATTCTCTCGAGAAACATCTGTTTTACAAAAGAAAAAAGTGATGTTATTAAAGGTAGAGTGAAAATTTCAGAGTGATCCTTGGTTACTGTAAGACTAGAAACATGGGCAGGCCATGCAGGTCCCTCAGGCTGGAGTCGGGTGTCCTCCAGGCTTCTGACACCAGTGGCCCAGCTTGGAGGGAAGTGGGCTCCAAGCTCGGCATCCGCACATCCTTGATGGATTGGTCATTAGGCAATACCCGGTGGTGCTTGTCTGCTGGCTCTGTGGAGACAGCCCCCGGCCTGGGCGACAGCCTGGGCTTCATCTGCGCGCGGCTGGCTCATCTCCACATAGGCTGGGTTTTCCTGGATTTTGCAGGAATCTTGACCTCGAGACATTGCCATGTTTCCCTTGGACCTCTGCTGGGGCTCTGTCCCCTCCTCCTGCCCCCTTCTACTTTTGTCTAAATTCACACAGGGACAAGGCCATTTAAGTGTCTTCTCCCCCCACCCCCCCACTCCCAGTTGCTTGGCTGGAAGATCCCTGGGAGGTGCTTTGAGGCCTTGGGCAGCACAGCTGTGACTTCCTGTTAGAGTCCCAGGGAGGAAAGAGCGTCTCCCACCTTTGCCTCTCAGCCTGGGGCCTCACCACCCATGCTGTCTCACTTCCTCCCAGCCGCCTTTTTTGATGTCCTCAGGTTGGTATACAGAAAGCAGGGCCTGTGGCGGAGACTGAGGGCATGTGGGGGTGGGGACGCCCCTTCAGGAACAGCCCACGGGCAGGTGAGGGAGGCTTCACAGGGAGGAAAAGGGCCCAGCCTCTGGCCTTTGGTGTATGCTCTAGAGCAGATACCTGTTAGGGCTTTTTGTCCACAGTTCAGAATCATTCTCAGAGGAGGGGGAGCCAGGAGATACTGATAGTGACCTCCTAAGAGCAGCGGCCCCCAGCACAGGGGACCTGAGCCGGGCACAACAGCGCCAGCTCCCTATCTCCATTTCATAGGAGGGAAACCATATCAATGGGGTTAAGTGAATTATACAAATCACACAGCTCTCATTTGAACTTGGGTTACAGTATTATTATTACTGGTATTTATCCTGCACTGCTCAGGGTCTGCACCCGCTGCCAGTTCGTTTTAACCAGGGCGATTTCTTGCAGTGACCATTTTACTGTTTTTGTAGGTTCCCCCCCACTTTTTTTTAAATGCAGTTCAGAGGCTTTCCATAAACTTTCCATAAACTTTACATTCTAAGTGCTTCTTCATATTGCTTAAATGAACGACATTATTTTAAAGACCCCACATTCCAACCAATGCATCTACCTGAATCTCCCCAATCAGACTGTGGTGGGCGAGAAAAATCCCCAAAGATATCATGTGTCCTAGTCCTGGGAACTGTGAATACATGACCTTCTGTGACAAAAGGGCAGATGTGATGGGATCAACAACCTTGAGATGGAGAGGGTACCTGGATTATCAGGTGGGCTCGATCAGATCCACAGTCCTCGTTAGGGGGAGGCAGGAGAGCCGAGGCAGAGAAGGAGTTGCCACAGTGGAAACAGAGGCTGGAGGACGTGGCAGCTGATGGCAGGGAAGAGGATCCCCCTGGAGCCTTCAGAAAAGAGCACGGCCCTGTTGACACCTTGGTATTAGCCAGTGAGACCTCTGTTGGGCTCCTGATCTTCAGCACTGCAGGACCATGCCCGTGTGCTGTGATCGCTGGTTCCAGCAGCCACAGGAAACACACATGGCTCCTGATGAACCGAGTGTGGCTGTTTCCTTCCTCTCTGCTCCTGATGAATCGCATCCCAGTAGGGAGTGCTCACTGCACAGTGTTAGGTCCTGCACATGGCACCCAGGGCCTGTCGGTTGCTTCACTTAATCATTCTCAGTAACATATGATGGAGACACCGTCACTATCTACACCTCAGTGCGAGGAACGAGGCTTGATTGTAACTTGCCCAAAGCCACGCACGTGACTACTTGTGCCCTGGGAGGACTGCCCTGACCGTGAACATCAACACCTGCAACTGGTGCCCTTCGTGGAACGCTGGCCTCGTGCCCCATCTCTGCCCAGAGCTTTCAAATGGTTCCTCAGCACACTGAGGGACAGGCTGCATTTTTGCAGGCAGTGTTATTGTTTGCATTTTATGGATGAAGAGGCTCAGAGAGGGCACATAGCTCATTTACTGAAGGTCAGCTCAGGTCTGAGCTGGATCAGACCCAGACCTGTCTGGGCCCAAAGTCTGTGCAGACTCTGAAGTCCTTACCCATGCACAATGGCACAAAACCAGAGCCAGATGGATTCTGTCTCCTTCAGCTTTACTGCCAGTTCAAGACAGGGACTGTGCACAGGAATCCCTGAGACCTGGAAGGTCTCCAACGTGTGCTTTTCACGAAAGCAATCTGGACACATCCTCCTGGATGACCGTCTCCATCCCTCCCTGACAGCCACAGATGGAACAGTAACCACACATCTAGGCTAGCGCTGACAGACCCAAGGACAAAGTGAGTCAGCCAGGCTTTGAATGGAACAATGGTGACCCTTTAAATTCTCTCCATCCATGACCTGACCCCTTAGCAAACCTACCAACTTGAAAATGCTGTAGCATATCATTTTTTCCATAAAATGCTTTAAATTCTGTCTAAAACTGCTAATAAACCTTCTCTTTTTTGGTCATGGGGTCTCGCCTTGATGTCCAGGCTGACCTCCATTTTGCAGTCCTCTGTCTCAGCCTCCCAGGAGCTGTGTTTACAGGTGCACGAGACCACCCCAGCTCCTGATGTAGGGCTCCAGTGTAGAGGCCACTCCCTGAAACCTCCTCTTCCTCATGCCAGCACCAGCAGTTGGAGGCCATCATTGAAGCCTTCTGAACAACCACTTTCTCCTTGTGGAGGCGTAAGATGACCATGGGGTGTAGGGACTGGGCCTCCAGCCCTGCTCAGACTCCTCCCTGCATGGGGCTTCCTGTCTGGCTCACACTCCCACAGGAGCAGTCTTGCCAACATCGCGTGACATCTTCCGGGTTGTTGTTGCTCAGGGCGGGTAGCTAAGGTTGGCTCTGTCTTGCCTGAGGCCCCAGCAGAGTTGGAAATCTGACTTCTGTTCCAGAGTGCTTCTCCCCCGCCCCCCCCCATGTCTACTCAGGGCTGCAGGAGTCAGGAGTGCAGATTTATGGGAAAGGAAGTTTAGGCTGAGAAGCTTTGGAGCTGCATCCATGTTGAGCTGTCCTGGTAGAAATGCTTGTGGGGTTGCACACACACACACGTCTCATGGCACTCTCCAAAGTCATCTACAGATGCCCTAGAAGGGTTTTAATAGCAGTGTCTGAGTCACGTGGCCCCTGCAATTATGGTAGCATTAAGAGATTGGATGGAGGTTGGTCTTGTATTTCTACCTTCTTTTTTTTTTTTTTTTTCTTTCTTTTTTGGTACCAAGGATTGAACCTGGGGCATTTAACCAGTAAGCCACATTCCCACCCTACCCCCACCTCCTTTTTAACATGTTTTATTTAGAGACAGACTCTTGCTGAATTGCTTAGGGCCTCACTAAGTTGCTGAGGCTGGCTTTGAACTCACAATCCTGCTGCCTCAGTCTCCTGGATCGCCAGGATTTTTCTTCCTTGTGAACTCCAGTGGTGCTGGGCAATCTGGAGGTGTGATTTTCTCTTCTGCTGGCCATAAACTCAGGATGCTGGAGGACGTGATAGAGCTATTCTGACTATGATACATAAACAGCTGTGGGGGGAAGAAATCTTGCAGTCTAACAAACCAAATAATAATGGACTGTGAGATTGTAAATGGAAAGGAGACGGATACATGAGGGAATATACAAAACTTCCTCACGGGTTGGAATGTATTAGATTCACTGTGGGCTAGTATAAAATAGTAGGGCACATTAAATTTTATGGTAAAGTTAAAGTTATATATTCCATTTTATCCTTACATGTGCTAAATGTAGCAATATTATCTTCTTTTGTCTAGGACCAAGGGACAACCACTGCAGTCCTAACAATCCAATTGCCCTTCGGAATCTCCAATCAGATGTTCTAGAGAGGAAACCGGACTTCCCCAAGGTAACACGCGTTGGTGACTGGAGCTGTCAGCCAAGCACACTTGACCATGAAACGTGATCACTGGCCTCCTGGAGACGTGTCTGCATTTTAGTTTTGTTTAATCTAAACTTGAATTAATGCAGCACAGTAGTTAACCACCAAAGACTGAGAATTGCTACATGAGTGTGGACACTGTGTATTTAATAATCCTTTATAATCTTCACCAACAACTTTTAAGTTGGTGGTATCATAGAAGAATATGGTGATTGACCTCAATTTTAAAGCAAAATTAGTGTGTTAGAGAGAGAGAGAGTGTATATGTGTGTTGGGATATTATTCTGTCTACCTTTTTTTTTGAGATCAGGAAGAGATGCTTTGAAATCTAACAGGCTAGTATAGGTTGTTTCAACTACAGAACGTGTCAGTGGTGTGAAGCAGGAAAGAAAATTCGGGGTCATATTTAGACAACAAAACATTTCAGATTCCAAAGAACAAAGAGCTCTGCACACAGTGGTTAATATTGTCACCTTATCACATGACACACCATCTAATCAACTGACTCACTTAATCCCTCTGTCAACACTGGGAGGCAGACAGTGTTGTACCCATTTTGCAGATGAGAAAACAAAGCTTTACCATTTAACTTGTCCCAAATCTTGTTCTCCTAAGCTGTCTGGCTCCGGGCTTCTGTTCTTAACTTGCTCTGCAGGATTGTTCCTGTTAACAGAACATAAAAGTATGCATGGTCTCACCTTAGAGACCTGTCCCAGGTGTTACAGTTTACAAGACATCTGCTGTCTGTCACAAATCGATACTCTGTTGCCAACTTTTGTAATTCTAAGAGAAAAAGAATTATAAAATCATCCTATGATCGCAGATTCAACTAATAAACATATTTGTTAAAATGTTTTTTTTTCCCCCCAAAATACTTGGCTCAAATATCACTTTGATTTAGCTCTGCATTTAATAAAGCTCAACATGTCCCTCAGGGACCACGGGCCCCAAATCCCACAATATGGAAAAAGGATGCTACTTGGGTCCTGATATTCAGTCATGGACATGAACGTCTTCCTGCAGGAAGCGCTGAGCTCACCGTCTCAGAATGTAAACGTGCCACTGCCATTGACTTGTTTCTGGGGAACAGGAGCAGGATCCCCGACTGAGGAAGGAAAATGAGGAGGAGGAGCAGCAGATCCTTGAGAGCCTGGCTGGGAAGAGATGCCGGGAGGGGCGGGATCGAGGGTGGGCAGGGGCACTGCTGAGATGGATGTTTGCTCTTTTATTAAAAGAAAGATGCCGGCTGATCATCTTTCCCACCTGCCTTTCACATCGGGCTGGCAGATTTTAGTATTTTCTTGTTGGTGTCAAAATGAATCAGCTTCTGGTCATTAATGATGATGTAGCTCTTTGGAGCCATGGGGCTGGATCCCTGGAGCACACACAGGGCCATCCATGACCCAGCTGGGTCCCGGAAACCATGCCTTCTAAATGCCTACCCTGGAATGACCTGGATCATCTAATTTGATGGGTAGTGTGACTTTCAAGTTTCCCTCCTAACTTTGAGCCTTTAAAGCCTGTGCGTGTCAGAAGGCGGCTGTGGGATGATAGAACACGCCAGCAGATGCCCTGCCTGGGCAAGTGCCATCAGTCTCTGCCTCTCTCCAGAGCCTGCGCAAGATTGATGGCTTTCCCTTCCACAACGCATCGGAGCCACGGCAATGATAGGAAGGCACCTCTTCTGCCAAGTGCTTATTTAAAAGGAGTGAAATATGGAGACCAGTCGTCTTCTAAAAATTTTTTAACTTTTCCTGGTAATAAAATGACAACTCTGCAAACTTAGGAAAATACAGACATACATAAATAAGGAAATATATGTGTGTATGACATTTCCTTATTTTCCCCATGTTTGTTTTGACAAAAGTCTGAGACTATAATGTATATCGATTTCCATAGCTGTCTTTTATTGCAAAACAATTTTCCATGGCATTCAAATTATTGATAATTTTTATTTTTAATTGACGCTAGCTGTAAGTTGCAGTTGTGTGTACCAGGATTTACCTTTTAAGAGGCATGATTCTTGATGCTTTCCAGGACCTGTGATGTGGAGGGAATGGGGAGTTTTTGTTTAACACATACAAGTTTTAATTTTATAAGATAAAAAGATTTCTGGAGATGAGTGTAGTGATGGCTGTCACCAAAATAAATGCACACTTAAACATGGTTAAGATGGAAAATTGTATTTGTACCACAGTGAAAATATTGGCGGGGGGAATTCTCCCCAGCTTTCCATTGCTGTCTATCATGCAGTTTTTAGTCTGTAGTAACTGCATGGAAAGACGATGTTCACCATGAGGAGTGAGGAGAGCTTGGATTTTTCCATTCATCTCAAAGATGTGTTTCCCCATTGCTTCTTACCAGAGTGGACACACTCATCTGAAACACTCTTACATTCTGGATGAAATGCTGCTAGGTTGCTGAATTACCTAGTATGATTCTAGGTTCACCCTGCAGGGCCGAGCCAGTTTGCAGCAGGTGTGGGGGTAACTGCTGCAGAGTACCTGTGGGGAGATGTATCCAGAGAATCTGTATGGGAAAGACATTGTAGGTTGCAGAGCAGCAGTCGAAAAGGAAAGAATTGTATCATGGAGAAAAATACAGATTTCAAAGGTACAGATTGGATTAGATGCTTATCTTTTGGAGAAATAAATTGCTACAGGAATAGAGGCATCCTCACTCCAGTGCCTCAGGATCTGATTTCTCTGATCACCCACCTCTTATCTCTTTCTTATTTCAATTTATGAAATGTTTCCCTTCTTAGTAATATGCCTTATGGCATAAATATAAAGTTAAAAGTGGTCAATAAAAAGCATAAAACTATGAAAGCAGTTACCAGCTCTACAAAATCATGTTTGAGACATTAAAAAAAATCAATACTTGAAACAGCATCTATGAGAAAGAAAATGTGGAGCTGCGTTGGTCAGTGATGGTCAGGCAATGGATGGTTTGCTGAGGAAGCAAGACATTAAACCCGGACTATTCATCTGACCTGTCTCCAACCTTGAATGTGCTACTTTAAATATGAGATGATTTTCTTCGTCCTTTCAAATCAAACCTTACATCAGTTAACTTTATTCTAGATGAAAGAAATCTCTCTACAAAGCCACGTTTAGTTAACCCAATCTAAAAAGCAGATGGAGTGTCACCCTGAAATAGCTTGATTTGGGAAGGTGCTTGCTATAAAAGATGGGACTACTTTTTAAATTTGCCCAGTTTTCAAAGTAGCAGGTGACTTAGGAACATCAACTACTCTTTCTTGTCTCTTTAATTTCCCAGACTCAAAATGATGTGTTATATTCTATGATGGGCTGAATCGGACCCCTCCTCCCAGTTCTCCTGGTCCTAACCCCCAGCACCTCAGAAAGTGATTGTGTTTGGTGATTGGAGTTTTTGAAGGGATAATTAAGTTAAAATGAGGCCATTTGGATGGGCCTGAACCCAATATGACTGATGGTCCTTAAAGAAAAGAGCCAGGGTATAGCTCAGTGGTAGATCACTTGCCTAACCTGTGCAAGGACCTGGGTTCAATTCTTGGTATTGTCGAGAGATAGATAGATAGAGGAAGAATAGGATCCAAGTACAGGGGGAAGATGGCATGAGGCACTGGGAGGGGACAGCATCTGCAAGCCAAAGAGACAGGCCTCGGAAGAGCCCTGCAGGCACCTCGGTGTTGGACTCCCAGTCTCCAGACTGTGAGACAATAAATTGCTGCCATTTAGACCACAAGACTGGGGGTGTTGCTACAGCACCCCTAGCAAACCAATAAAAGTTTTAGGTGGTTGGATATTATCTTTGATTATTTAATGCATCTCAACAAGAAAATAGGAATGTGATGACTAAGAGTTATAAGAGGAGCATATATATTTAAGAGCAAAGAGTCCAAGGTTTCCTTTTTAATCTCTCTCAATTTATTTTCTGGGGCTCTTGTCAAACATAAGTGAAGTCTAAATCCTGGAAATACTCTGCCCTGATATTTGATCTCTTGTTCCATGTCACCTCCAGGCTGTTAACTCCATGAGACCAGGAGTCTCCACAGGGCCCAGCATGGCACCTGGCATGTAGTAGGTGCTATAAGTATTTTTCAGAGGAGTAATAAACAAATGTACTAACCATGACAATACGCTATGGATAACAGATTTGGCACCTAAAAGCAGACTAACTCAACATTCCCAGTAATAACATTTCCATGTATTGGATATGTGCTGAAGTAGTGCCATTTGTGCAATTCAGATGAACCCCAGCGTACCCATCGCGCCCCTCTCTGGGATACAGCATAGTTTAGCGGAGCTGCCACCTCCCTCCGCTAGGTTTGCTTAGATCAGCCACTGGCTTCTGCTGAGTCATGGGAAAGGAAATTCCCTGGGTTGTAAGAGGCACTTCCTTTCTACCTGGGGTCTTTTCTGCTATCCCTGGGTTGTAAGAGGCACTTCCTTTCTACCTGGGGTCTTTTCTGCTATCCACACCTTCCCTGTGAGAAGAGAGGGCAAATAGTTTTGTTTTTTTTTTTTCCTTTGAAATCGGGCTGTCATCAGTGTCACCCTGACATAGTGAAGGGTTTTAGAGCTTCAGAAATTGGTTCAAATTCACACTGTTCATTATGGCTTTCACCTCTTTCTTTTGATAGAGTAAAAATCACAGTCACATTTGCCAGGTCCCAGGGAATGAAATGTGGCTCACTCCTGATTCAGTCCTCCCGGGTCCTTCCAGGGTAACCCTCAGGCCTGAGCTTCAGGCAGCCCCAGGGAAGCCTTCAGCAGTGCACCCCTGGGGAGCTCTCTGACTCGGCCCAAGAGTGGGGACAGGCTGGCATCAACAGTCAGGGTCTTTTCTGTCCTGGCTCCAAGCTGAGATGACATCTGCTCATCCTTAGCAACACACCTTGATATGGGAGGAGACTGCAGTGCAGGGAGGGCCCTGTCCACAGGCGTTGCACTGTGCGCCCCCACCCCCACCTCTAGAGCTGTGGAAAGCAAGGTAGTCCGTCTGAGGGCCCTTGGCTCTGGCTGGGTGACAGGTGGCCTAAGTAATTTCAGCCTCTTTTCCCCAGATTCACGTGGAAGAACCACCTGAGAACTGATAAGAATACACATTACATTACGGCCCTTATCCTTATAGGCCCTGATTCAACCTAGGCTAGGGAGGTTGGCACCCCCAAATCTGCAGCCCCCTCCCAAGGTGTTTTATTATGCAGGTAATCACTGGTGTAAACTTTGGGAAACTTAAGATCAATGCTGCAGTTTCTAAGATCAGTATTTGCTTTTTTCTCTAAAGACCAATGTCAAAGGAGTTCCCACTGGGTATGATTATACACTTCGTGGGGTGCACAGGAACAATTATTATCAGAGCTAAATTTAACTAAAATGGGAGGGACTGTGTACTGTCAAGTCAGCCCAGGTGTGCTTCAGTTTTCTGTATGTAAACCATGGCCCCAGGAAAGGTGCTCTGGAGAGGGGGGTGGGAGTGCTGCAGAATCAGAAGCTGGAATCATGCTGAGGGCTTAAAGAATCACTGATTCTTGCTCTTCTCCTAAAGCTCCCTCTCTCAGGGACTCTACTGTACTTGGGGATGAGGCTAGCCACTGGGGTCTTGCAATGTGGTTTCAGAAGTGCTGGGGAGGGGCCCTACCCACAATGGCTCCCAGGAGCCAGGCCTTAGAGACCCCCTCAAGGGACCCACAAGGTGCAGCCTTGAAGCAGGGAGTAGCAGTGAGACTCAAAGAGAGAGTTAGATATCCTCCTTCTTGTCTTAGAGCCAGAGATATTTTTTATTTTTGAAATAATGAAGATTCTAAATTACTTTTCTGTCTATTCTTTATTTGCCCATTTCCTGTCTTTTGAATTTGCAACTTCTCACACATCTTTAAAAATGTAAGTGTTCATAAGGTGGTCGAGACGCCATGAAGAGCAAGCTGATGACTGTCTTCCCTTACCCCTGGGGTTGCCAAGATCACACATGAGGGACCTCTGGTAGATGTGTGGACACGCAGGATCCAATGTCCAACTAGAGGAGAACTGTCAATTATTTGAGAAAATTAATCCTGCCCTGAACAAAACTGCTCCCCTGATGACTTACCACATCCTGGGCAAAGAGGTCCCCTCCTCTCACCAGAAGCGGGTCCTTCCCCTCCAAAAAGTGATCTCTTGACATGATTAGCAGCCTCATTGCTCACTCTGTGCTCCCCAGATTACTCTACATAAGAATCTTCAAGACTTGGGTTACGATGAAGATGCCTGGGCTCCGCCCACAACCCCAAAATCAGAATCTCTGAGCTGGGGAACCTGCAATTATAAATAAGACTGCTGGTGATTCTCATTCATGTTAGAATCTTGAGAACTGGTGCTTTATGTACTAAGCACCACAGTTATGCCTTCAGGCTCCAAGGCAAAAAAGATTCTCTACAAGCAGTGGGAACTTAGTAGTTACCAGTAGTTCTGGCCTCATGCAGTTTCTTTCAAGGGTTCATTTTAAGCACATGTAACAATGTCAAGTTGATCAGGACTCTGTGTGCATTCACTAAATGCTAGGGTATGGTCAGACTGCCATGCCATTTTATGCAGTGCTTTATAAATAAACATGATAGAAACCAAATGAGGACAGAAGAGATGCTTCTTCCTGGTCTCAGCCTGCTTAGGTGCTTTGTTAAAAATCATGGCATGCATACGCGTGCACACACACACAAAATCATAGCTCCTAGTTTTGTACACACCAGTGACTTATTGTTAGGACTTCCAATATGTGCTGAGTAGAAAGCATGAAATGCCGTGATCATTTTAAAACAGTGGACAAAAACCCATGCTTATGTTGAAATGCAAAATGTCAGTAAACAGAGAGCCAGTGAGCAGAGGTCTGAGGCAGGAGCTCGCAGAGGGAAACCCGGACCTCCAAAGCCCACACTGGAACCCAGCTTTACAAGAAAGTCACTCCTAGGAAAACCTATCATTGGGGCAGGTGCACCTGGGGACTGGCACATGTCCTTGGAGTATCTCTCCTCTCTCCGATAAGTGAAATCACCTGATTATCACAGTGTTGGTCTGGGCAATTGTCAAGAGCTTGGTCATTTGCTTTCCATCTTCTGTGTGCATTCAGGCACCTGTGATTCCAAGCAGCAGGAAGAGATTAGTGAATTACTGAATTACTGAATTTGTGTCTAAACCAGCAAAGGTGGAGGACAGTGCGAGAGATGGCGGTGGGCAGGAGCTCCCTGTAACCTCTCTTGCAGTTTCCATGCCTCAGTGCTGACCCATCACCCTCAAAACCTGCACCCCAAGCCCCACACAGCCCAACTCCAGAATTTGGTCTTCCCTCCTCACTGAGTCTGTTAACTCCTATCTGGGGATTCTTGGGTCTGGTAGAGTTGACTCTCAAAATCTCACCATCTCCACTGACAGAGTTCACGCTTAAATAAACTAAGACTCGACACCCCACTGAGAAAACCAAGCCACATCAGGCTAGCATTGGCAGAATATGTAGCTTTTTCATAAACAGATCTGGGTTTCCCACCCTCCCAAGCGCTCAGACAGGGCACAGTGTGCAGTGAGATTCTGTGGCCCTGGGAGTCCTGTCTGAATTACAATGAACTACTTGAATAATCGGGATCCTTTTCTATTTGCAGGAGGCTCTGGCAACGCAAAACTCAAAAATGATTTCATCCATAGTAATTTCGCAGCTGATTGATGAGAATAAACCAAGAGAACCCGGGGCCGCCTTACCCCTGCCATGTGTGATCGCTCAACCTCGAGCATGTCCCACCAAGCCAGCGTCCACGAACCGCAGCAGAGTCAGCATCCACAGGGCCTTGGCGTTACTGCCCGGCAAGCTGGGGGTCCACAGACGGTCAGACGAGCGAGGATCGGAAGCTGAACTGTTGCCCACTGCCGACCGAGGCCTCCGCAAGGGGTTCGCGTCCATCACCATCACCGCCCGGCGTGTTCGCCCAGCAGCCAGTGCCCTGGTGTGGGGCACTGTTGGGGAGTCGCCGTGTCCCAGGTGCAGGGCCGAGGACGCTCTGCTCGGGGTCCCATCGGCTGGTGCCCAGCCACATCAGCACCATGGACCTTTTGACTGCGCAGAGTGCCCCAGAAACGGCTCGCTGATGAGGCTGAAGGTTCCCGAGGCCCGTGCTGGGCTGTGTGCGGGAAACGAGTACTGGGTCACCCACGTAGACCACAAAGAGGGCCGGTTTTCTGCAGACCCTCCGCCATCGGGAAAGACCCCGCTGGCATTCAGTTCCTGTGTCCACCTCCAGATGTCTCGGCAGTGTCAGAATTCCATCTACTACTTGGACAAGTCTCTGTCTCTCCCTGTTGAGCAACCTCAAATTGCAAGCCCCAAAGTGCACAGATCCGTCCTGTCACTCAACCTCAGTTGTAGTTCCCACGGGTTAACAGCAGATGGAGTAGACGGCCCAGCTAATGAAGAGCCAATGAGCAGCGGCCTGAGGCAGGAGCTCGCAGAGGGAAACCTGGACCTCCAAAGCCCACACTGGAGCCCAGCTTTACAAGAAAGTCACTCCAAGGAAAACCTATCGTTGGGGCGGGTGCGCCTGGGGACTGGCACATGTCCTTGGAGTAGCTCTCCTCTCTCTGAAAATATAGAACTTGCAGATGTTGGGACTAACCTGGACACTGTGAGAAAAGGGAAAGAGGACCACGCGGATCCTTGCACCAGCAGTCACGCGGAGCAACTGGCCATTCACATTCCTGGCTGGAGTTACAAGGCAGGTGAGTGGTGCTGCCCTCTGCAGGAGAGCCTGGGGTATGAACGCCCTGCCTCGGGGATATTAAGTGAGCTGCTTCTACATCACTTAGTCTCAGAGGTGTTTTGCAGTAGGATTGGCTTTGACCCCTCTGCACCAAGGTGGCAACTGATACAGCTCATCTTTGACATCTAAGAGGATAGGTTTTTTATTTTAGATGAGACTTTTGTAGATATGAGACACCTCTCCTCAAATTCTTGTTGCTAACAATAGTGCCAGGATACATGCAAAGAATAGGGAGCGGCCCCCAAAGGAAGCTAATTCAGACCATGCTTGCTCCACCTTCCAAAGTAAGGAGAAAAGAATAAAATACCATCCACGCCCAGATGTTTTATTCTCTGGAGTTAAACACCTGCATATTTGGGAGTGTCTAGAATTCTGCACTTTTTACTGTTCCATTACATAGTTGATATTTATGAATTAACTTCATAAATATCATAAAAACCCAGACCACAAAGCCCCATGATGGAGTGTGTGTGTGTGGGGGGGGGGTAACTATGGGACATTTTCTAAATGAGGAAGCCAGGGAATCTCCTTACCAAACAGCAGCAAAAGCAATTTCAGTCCCAGGTGCATCTTCTGGGGTAACTTGGCTGGATTCATTGCTGTTTCCAAGGCCAGGCAGGATGCTTGAGGTGGACTTCCCTGAGACCCTTCTCCTTTCTTTGGGAGATCAAGGGAAGAAGCAAGTCTGTTTTGAAGGAAATTGGCCAGATTTCTTTCTCTCTGTATGCAAACTTCTGATTTTCAGCTTTACTTCTTAAGAGAGAGAGACTGGTTTATGAATTAGTGATTTTCCACTTGGGGAACTATTTAAAGATACTAATAGTAAAATTAAAAAAGGCAGCATATGCATAATAATTTTACGGTGCAAATTTTGTCCATTAAAGCTTTATTAATTAATAAAAAAAATGACTGTAAAACATTTAGAACTATAATGTGTGTAGAAATGTTAAATGATGTAATTAATTTTAACAAGTGTGTATATATTGAATGCTCAGAGATTTTTTTAAAGCAATTTTGACATGGCTTTCAGATCGATTAAACCGTTGAAATGCCTCTGAGTCTTACAGACTTACTGCAAGGAGGAGAACGTATGCCGCCGTCCATGTTCCAAAGATAAACCCACTTTAGTATTTAAAGAAATTGCTCGTGCTAAGCACTTCATCTTCCTTATTGATGAAGATACCAGAAATAGACAACCTGCACTGTCACGTGCTGCCCCGGTGGAAGCACATCCTTGTCTCGGTAGTGTGTCTCATGATGGGAAATAATAATTTAGATTTATAGCACTTTTCACCAAAGGATCTTTAAAAATAACCAGAGCCAGATCTCCAGCATTCATCTCAGGGCAGAGGAGCGAGAGCAGAGACAATCCCCCACTTATTTCTGGCTTTGGTGCAGAGGTTTTGATCGTGACTTTGTGAAATGGTTGGTTCTCCAGGGGGTTTTCTTAGCAAATCGTGTGAGTTAACTCTGTTTCCCATGGACCGACATCTCTCAGAATAACTGCATATCCTGAAGATTCACTTCTGGGGACTCTTGAATGGCTCTAAATTGTGTGGCCTCATTCTGCCATGTAAGGAAAGATTCACAGAGGCCAGGGGAGCTGTGGGTTCCTTCTTTGAGAGTTGTCAGTCTCCCGTTTCCTGGCTCAGTGGGCTGGACCAGCAGTACTTACTCCCTGGGTAACAAGAGCAGGAGGTGGGCTGTGTGTTCTTGAAGATCTTCAAGCTTAAAGAATTTTTGCTCTATTTGCTGGAGGTGGCAACTCTGAGGGGAAGAGACCCCATGTGCCTCCGGGTCCCTCCTTCATAATGTCCAAAGCTACAGAGTCTTGGGGCCCACCACTGGGACATGTGCCCCCAACACCTAACAAAAGTGTGCACACACACATAGGCACCCTTGAGTTTGAGAATGTTCTCACTCAGAAACTTATTTTCTCAGAGGACAAAAAAGAACTTGGTCCACACTGTAGAATTCTTGACTCTGAAGACCACCGTCTATCCCGGCGTGACCTACACAGTGTTTCCAAGGCGAGTGTGCTGACATTAAGTCTTAAAGCTTTTTAGCCTTGATGCAAGTGCTTTCGGACCCTGGCCAAGCTCATTAAAGCTCAGAGGAACTATTTGTATTTTCCTTCCTGAAACCAGAATTTCATCCAAGGCATCCTTGATGGCCTCTCGTGGTGACACATGCTATTAACCATCTTCGTACTTCATAGTCACTGAATCTGATTCCTTTTATCTGAAGGATTGAAAACACCTCCTGAGCAGGGCCTTTTCTCGGCCCTGGTAACTGGTGTTCAGTTGCTTCATAGGTACCACCTGGGAGATTCTACCAACAGGCTGGGCAATTTTATTTCTCATCGTCATGGCACTGGGCAGAAAGTCTTGCAGAGTGTGTCTTGATGAGTCTCCAGGACATGCACCCAGAAGACTACCATGATTAGGGGAACTGAGACACTCCCCAAGGCTTTGTGCCATGCAGACAGCCCTGTGGTTCCACTAGACACCTGGGGACCATTCTCTTCTGGCCCTGAGGTTTAGGAATTAGTTCTCTCTGCTCATCCCCTAGGTGCTGTGAGCATCCTGCTGGCACATGGAGGTGGGCCTTGTGCAATCTCTGCCTTGATAGTAAGGGAACATCTTATCATCATTATTGTCACTGCTGTCATTATCACCATCTTAGGCATAAGCACAGCATATGTTGTGAAAACCCGAGGTGCCAGCCCTGGGCTCCATCCGTGGCTTTGACTCATTCAAACCATTCTGTAAAGGGAGGATAATTATCCCTATTTTGCAGATGAGACAAATGAGCCTCAAAGAGCAGATGATTTGCCCAAATCCACGTGTCTGTCAAGTTCCGAGCTGTGTGTGTCTGGCCCCTACAGGGCCCTGTCTTTGGGAGCCCTGCACAGAGTGGTCAGGATGTTGGTGACTCCAGAGGGTGGGCCCAGCGCTACTGTCACCGTGGAAGGGGGTGTTTGAAGAGTGCTCAGGGACACATGGAGTACCAGTATTTGGTGGCCATGAGCTACAAGTGAATTTTTTATAAAATGTAATAAGTCATTTGAAGCAGTCAAGATTTATCCACTTAGAAATTCTTCCCAGCTGGAATTCTGTTCTCTGACTGCTCTAGGGGATAAGCAATACTGACCCAGATGGTTCTGCCCACAAAGCCCCAAACATTTACTGTATGGGCTTTTTCAGAAAAAGCCATGCACCCCTGCTGAAGACCACTTCTCTAGGTACTTCTGGGCAGGCCACTTGCCTGTGAAGCCTCTATTTGTTCCTCTGTGGAGTAAGAGAGGTGGGCCAGTTGACCTCTTATGTCTTAATTCCTTCTCTTGTAGTCTGTTTGTGTGCACGCGCGCGCGCGCGCGCACACACACACACACACACACACACACACACGGTGGCAGGGGGCTGTGATTTTTCTGCCATGGTAGCTGTCAGATAAGCCAGATTTTTAGGGTGATTCTCAGGATGTGGTGAAGGAGCCAAGCTCAAGTTGAAGGGGGGAGCTCTCTGTCCTTAGCCTCCCATCCCTTTTCCCCCGGGGTCTCCTACCACTTCTGGCCAGCACCTTCCTGGTTCTCTCTGATTCTTTTCCTGTCTCCTAAATGTAGATCCCTCCTGTTTCCACCTTGACATCAGCCTCCTACCTCTTCCTGACAGCAACAAGATCAGCCACTGCTGCTACTAATGCCACTTGTCATTGTCACTAAAAGGATGGGGCACATGCTCTGCCTGGCACCTACTGCTAGCTCCAGTCCAGAGTCCCACCTGGACAACCTTTCTTCACTCACCTGACATTTGTTGGGTCAGCCGTGGTACCAGGCATTGGGCTGGCCTCTGGTGCTGCAGTGCCGCAGTGCCGAGGCGAACCCCAGACGTGCCCACTGGTGGGTCACAGCCCCTTCCTGAGTTGCAGTTGCTGTTCCATGAAGTCGTTTCTCCTCTCCAGGCTCTATGTTCCCAGAGGGCAGAGGCAGGTTGGAGTCATTGGCATTGACCTCTTCACACCCTGACGAGTGCCACAGAGCTCGGAGAAGATGCTTAGGACGTGGGTGCCAGATGACAGGTCACACTGATGACAACAGAGTCCCTGATGTGAAACTGGGGACACCTAAGCTCTCTGTCTCTTCTTCGTCAGACCACCTGTCTTGGTGCTCACACCTACCACCTCTCTGGCAAGGAAGGTGGGAGCCGTGTAAGAGTCCCCCTGAAGAGGGAGGTTGTGAAGTCAAGGGAGAACTGGAGAGGCCTCACTTGGTTTGAAAGCCAAAGGGCAAACGTCTCAAAATATTGTTTCCCCTCAGAAACTCAACCAGAATAATCAAGGATTGTCATGGAACAACTTTATTATCCTGCAGGTGGCCAAATGTAATAATAGAGAAGAAAAAAAACATGTGAGCAATGTTGCAAAAATATTTTGAAAGGTTTCTTTTTTTTGAAAATTTTGTTTATTTAACTCATGCTAAGTCTTAATGACATTGGGGCATTTTCTCCAGGATCATAAATATGCTTTCAGATCCTTCCCTAGAGTCTAAAGTATATAAAGAGTTAAAACCATCTCAATGAGCTCTCTGGAGACAAGGCCTCCCCTTTTTTTCTGAGTAACCCCCTCCGTGTCTCTCCAGTGGTTTGGAGAAAGCCATTGTTGCCCGGCCATTTGCTCTGCTTTACCAGGGATAGATGAAGAGAAGTAAATTTAAGTCCTGATTCAACAGTTTGATCTATTAAAATAGGTAACTGCAGAGCGACCATTTATACAGAGTCAGTGGCAATCAGGGGAGCCTAGAGTTTCAATCCACCGTGTCCTTTACCAGGCAGTCCCACGAGTAGCCGTGGGCAGTTTGAACTGCTGCTGCTGCTTCTTTTTTTAAATATTATTTTAGTTGTAGCTGGACACAGTACCTTTATTTTATTTTTATTGGTGCTGAGGCTCAAACCCACGGAC